TGTTTTTTTTTTTTTTTTTTTTTTTTTCTGAAGTCATATGCTGGAGGCCTGATTGTGCAAACACGTATGCATGTGAGTGGTTTTCACTTGAGTAATCCCTCTCATTTTAATGGGACTGCCACACAGGTGACTCATGTGTGCACACTGGCATAGTAGAGGGTCCTGTGGCCTTGATCCAACCAAGGCTTTGCACGTGCGCTCTGTGGCATTGCTGGCAGGTTGTGGAAATAAGTAAGCGTTAGTATAAAACAAGTGGTGCATCTATCACTTCAAATAGTTATTGAAAGAGTTCTGTTTCAGACATTTAAAAATAAGTTACTTGTTTTGATAAGTTTTTTTGAAAACATTTAAAACAGGCTAATTAGAAGCCAGATTTTGTCTTTTTATTGAAGAATTTCCATGAGAACTTCTGCCTTTAGGGTAATGATTTCCTTAAAATTCAGTGGTACAATTAGGCCATAGAAACAGCACTTTTAACTATTTGTGGAAAAAGAAATGTTACATTAATGTGTTGAAGGCTACTGTTTACGATAATCACCTGTTCGTTAACTTTACAAAGGCTTTGTTGAAACTCTTCGTGGAAATACTGGGAGGGAGAAAACCTAGCAGCCTCATTTGCAGAGGTTTAAACCATAACCAAGTCACTGAGCTCAAGGATGGAGAGCAAGTGCACAAATTACAAAGCAAACAAATGTGCAAAGCTTCTGCTTCAAGAGGTTTTAATTTGGGCATACTAAAATGGCAGGTGAAGTCACAGAGCATGCTTGTGTTATTTCCATATTAATTGCCTTACTAGCAAGAAAGAAATGAGAGCGATCCAGTGTTCAGAAGTCAGTCAGTGTCACTGAAAAGTACTAGGATCACATTCTAAAATAGCAGATTGGATTTTTGTCGTTTATTGTGGACTGCTTTTATGGATAGCCAGAAGTTCTTGTAACAGATGGTGGGGTGGCCAGATGTGGAGAGCTGGGAAAAGCAAAACAAAACCTCTCCCTCCACTTAGTTCAATACCTAGCACCTTGTATAAACTGTTGGCCCACACCCAAAGGCCTCCAGAGCAGAAATTATCTCACACCTGAGGAATCAGGCAACTAGACTAAGGCTCATAAGGATTTGCTTTTAGACTTCAGACCAAATGGGGATGTTTAAACCTGAAAAAGAGTACGATGCCACATAACGGCACCACTCACCCTGTAACTGACGTCCGGCTAACAGGAATATAGTAAACTTAGATACAGCATCTTGTTGGCAAGCCCTTCAATGCTCCTCAAGAAGGCAGAAAGTGAAGAGAGACTTAGGGGGGACTCACTGTTTCAGAATCCACTTTTTTCCCCTTAACCCTGGCAAATGAATCTATTTCATACAATTTTTGTACAATTTTGCACAGAGGAGCATGCACGTGGCTGTTTCTTTTACTGCCCACAGCATTCTGTGTGTTTTCTATATATCCTTTATTTTTCTACACAATTTGCTGCTAAAAATGTGTTTGCATTCTCATGTGATGCCATTAATTCAGTCAAGGGAAGTATGAAAATAAGATCTGTGATCAATAAACAGCTGAATATGAACACAAAATAAATAAGTTAAATAAATTCAACAAAGAAAAAAAATCCTAGTAGTTTTTGTAAAACTAACTTTACATATTATACATATAAATTATCAGATTTTTCCATTACACTGTTAGAACTTAGAAAAAAAATAATTAAAATATTTCTAAAGTATGGTGTTTGGGTCTACAAAATATTGTGCTGACCCAGTTTTCAGATTGAGCCCTCTATGTCAGCCCAGATGTGTTGCAACAGCAAGAATAAGTTAAGAAGGACAGACAAAATAAATCATTACAGATGGCGTGCCTTATTGGGCCTCAGTGGTGCTTCTCAGCACATGGAATGTATACTTTTATCTGGATGAGCATGTGAAAGATGCAGCCCTCTGTAGAGATTATGTGCACTGAACAAGCCTGCCTACGTCTCGGTTACACAAAATCAAACCAGCTACAAGCAGCTGTGTAGCTCACAAGGAAATCGACACAACCATATGTATTAGGATACACTGTCACAAATTCCTCAAGATGCATTGCCTCTGCTTTTCAAACACAGGTAATGTTTGACTGTTCACAAGTGGAGCATTTTCTCTTTAAGTTAGGCCAGGACATCAGACTTCATAAATTTTGTCTTGCAAGTAGCTGAATAATGAATCCAGTCCTTTGGAAGAGCTCCACAGCTGTTTTAACATCTGACACTCTTTCTCATTCACATCTTCAAGTCCGGATTTCAGGAAGCTCCGCACGAGACATTTGGACTCTTCCAATACCTAAAGCCAAAACATCACTCAGTATTTTATTTTGACTCTGACAAAATTATTATGGATAATGGCATGAACAGCATTTTTACACTACTGACTCTGTTTTACAATCTAAATAACTCCTTTGGGCACAGAAATTAGATCTGATTTATAGCCATAACTCCACTTGCTGATAGTCAGCATCTTTAAGAATTAAGGACTTCTGAGGTTTATGCCTTAGTACCAACATTTTTAAAAGGAATGGGGAATTCTGAAGCACCTTAGTTCACTGAAGGTCTGCCATGAAGCACTAGAAGGAGCTGAACTCCCTCCTGTTGAAAATGTGATCCCTTGAAATGAAAATGTGTGAGGCATGATATGTTGGCTACTTGTTTTCTCGAAGGTAGTCTTTAAGGTTATAGAGGTTGGAAACCCAAATGTGGATGTCCATCATCTTTAACAATTTTCCCTCATGCATCATTTCCTCATCAAAACAGAAATGAATAGGAAAGGGCCTTTACCGCAAATACCTTTTTAAGTTTATTTACTTACATTTTTATAAAAGTGAAAGAAAAGAAGGGTGTTCAGCAAAACAAGCATCCTCTGACTGTGTTCTGGAGTTAGATTTGCTTAGCATGTACAAGCAGTCATAAAACATCACGTAAGGTTTTTACAACGGAAAGACCAATCTCAAGCCCTGAGTAATCGCTCTAAGTTCTTAAAGGCATGAACAGCAGGTCCATGGTTGCTCCCATAGTTCAGCTTGTTTTTCCCAGACCCATTTTCAGACACATTGAGATTGCCTTCTTTAAAACTCTTTTTGAAATATATTAACACCACTATGTATCTCACAAGGAACCCAACTAGTCAAACAAAACCATTAATAATTCATACATTGAGGCAGATTTTTTGGGAACAGAAGACTTAATGTAAACTAATACAGTGTTTATGGTAAGGGAGACGTATACTCTCCACTCAGCTTTGTCAACACCTACATGTTAAGCCCAGTTCCTATCTGTTTTAGGTTACAACACTGCTATTCCAAAATAGTATTTCTCTTTAACTCAAGTAAATGGTGTTAATTGCAAATCGCGGGGCCTGTGTATTTTTTTGGTCTGTTTGTGAACAAGTAGCCACAGTGAACTTGGATGAGCTCATCATATTAATTGTTTTTGTGACTTCAGCCTGATTTGCATTTAGGATCTCAGAGAGTAAATCTAGTCTGACAGTTTTAACTCTCATCTTTGTCCACAAGTCTTCCTAACAGGTCTCAAGAGAAAATTTCATTGGCAGCCAATAACAGTGAAGGAAGGAAGAATTCACTGTAAGGTCCAGAGGTTTTCTGAACTCATATAATACACGTTATATCAGCATGATCAAATAAGCTTATGCTACATTTCCAGAGAGTTTCATTCTGAATGTCTTTTGAGAGATCTAATCTACATTTAATTAAAAATCTCCTGTGTCTCTACCTTCTCTTTTACAATGGATCTTTTAAATGAAACTGAGGGATGCTAAGACAGTTTCAGGCATAGGAAGTATAGCAAGAAACTGCAACAATTTGCACTTTACTTAGTGTAGTTTTATTGCAGCCAGTATCACTTTCTTCACTGCATTTTTTTTAAACAAGGATGTGCCCAGAATAGGAGTATATCTGCCTGAAGGGAAAAAACCTTAGGAAGTAAAAATAGGAAAGGATTTTCTTTCAACTTTTATGTACACAAAAGGAAAGTTATAATACACTGTGACCAGACTGTGTTCAAATCCCTCTGTGTCTGGATCTCACCTCTCCTTCACAGCAGAGGTTAGCTGGCACTATCCTACCCTTCTGGTGCACTGTGTAGAACATTTTGCAGAATCAGGAACTATGCAGGTGCAGAAAAGAAGGCAGAGTCAGCTGACAGGCTGGCCAGGACAACGTGAAAGGCAAATATATTTTCTTACTGGCCCTACAGAGATTTCCCAGTACAGTTGTATAGTTTCAGACTCTTCCACCTTCATGACAGAAACCAATGCTAAAATCCTCTTTCAAAATCTGGGGCAAGGAGGTTCCACTCATACTGAATAAATGCAAAGATGGAGAAAGGAAACAACCCTCCCTTCCACTGAAAATGGGAAACTCCACGAGCTCACTGATCCCTATCCAGATTTTCTGTTGTTAGCCCTCTTCCACAGGTATGGCTGTGGAAACTGAGGACCCACCATGGGATGAGCCTTGGGAGCACACCTTGCCTCTGTGAAATGTAATTTAATCACAAAGGAGTTTGATTTCTTACCACGGCACTGCAGGATGCCATTTCTTTCACTCGTAGCATCACTTCTTGGCTAAATGTTGTTGGCCAAAATACTTGTGACACTAGTCCTCTGCTGCAGGCTTCCTGTGCTGTCAGCTTTCTCCCACAGAACAACATTTCATTTGCCTGTGAAACAAAAAGATTACTTGGGTTATAATTTCCTTAAAAAATTTTCCATACTTGCCCGCTATTTTCAAGATTAAATTCACAAATGGTCTCCTGTATCTTTCCATACTGCAAAATACTTAAAAAGGCGTTTCGGTAGCTATTTAAGGATTGTGCAGGTGGCCGGAGCACAGCATGGGTTTCATTTAAGAGAAATGTGCTGGCATGCATGATGAATCTGTATTGCTGCTTTTACAAGAGTAACTGTCAGTGATACAGTGATACTATGCCAAGAGTCATGGAACCTAGTACGAAGTACTTCGTGGGGCAAATTCTGCTTTGTTATACTGGTAAAAACTAAGCAACCTTACTGGAATTAGTATAGCTTGTCTGTAGAGAGCAGAGAGCAGTATCTTGCTCTGTTACTGCACATTCCTAACAGAATACAGACAAGTACTCTGCAACATTATTCTGCTAATGCATTTCTTCCCTTTTCTACCATGATCTTGACAATCTTTGCTTTTTCAACCTGTGTTCAATCTTTTGTGTATACAGCATGTGTAATATATTGAATTCTGAGGTCATTTTGAGATAAGAAATTGGTAGAGATTAGATGAACTTTCCACAGATTTCATTTCCATTCATGACAATTAAAAGAAACAATTGTTTTCTGTTTTACTTTTTAAACAGAGAAAGAAGAGCATGATTTTAAGAAAGGTTCTTCAGCAATTTGAGGTGGAAAACCTTACCAGTGCAACACCCAGAATTTGTGGGAATGTGTATGATGAGCAGCCAGCTGGAGTGAGTCGGATTGTTGCGTATGGTGTCTGAAACCATGCCTTCTCACTTGCCCAAACGATATCACATAGTGGTAAAATAGAAGCTCCTAACCCAAGAGCAGGGCCGTTGATAGCAACCACAATTGGCTTCTTAAATTGAATAAAAGCTTTTACAAAATCCCTAAAATAAAAAATAAAAGAAAGATCTTGAATACAGTAACACTTAGATAAATACCCAAGCTTAAAGTACTTAATCTGAAAACAAATTAGAACCACAGATGAACACAATAAATGCCATGGCCCAGTTTTATGAGGTCAGAATTGCAAGATACTTTCTAATTTGCACATGGAAAATTTTGCTCATATTTAGTTATTTAATCTTTCTGAGTACGTAGGATATTAAATAGTTTTGTATATGTTGTATACGAACTGATTAACTGGAATGCACTGGCTGGTGTACTTTTTGCAGAATGGTTTGGTTAGGTTTAGTTTTACTTCTGGACCAGTAACTCATGAGTTTGTACACATAGCGCTTCTCAGTTTGCTCCACAATGGCTAGTACGGATTCTGATGATCTGGTTTGGCTAACTTGATGAACATATTATAGCGTGAAAGACAGGAAACTCATAGGTGGATTGCTGAATATTTATTTTTTTCAAAAAGTTCTCTTAAGATCCTATGTCAAAGGTTACTGCAGGTCCCAGCAATGGATTGGGAAACAGTAAACGTTTATGGCACACCAGCGGAAAGAACAAGACCCACAAAGGGGAGTCAGAGAGAGAGAAAAATGTTTGAACAGGGAAAGAATTAGGTGAGTGATCTGTTGGGTCTTCATTGCAAAGTCTTCGGCAAAGACATAACAAAGTAGATGCCCTGGCCTGCCTACAACAGTAAATGTGAAGCGATGGGAAATAATGGGGAAGTAAATGTGATCGGATTCATCTGGATGAATGAACTAGAACATGTTAAATTCTGTGCAATGAGGAGATATTTTAAATAAGTTACCTACCAGCAACTCTGGAAAGACATCTGTTGAATGGAACAGCCTATACACCAATTAGGGAAAAGCATGAGTGTAATTGTGGGCAAATTATGGGCTCTAGCAGCTCAGTGCACAGCAGGTATATGGAGGCAAACGAGATGCTCAATTACTTTAGAAAAGAGACATATATAAATCAAGTTCAAAACGAAAGAGGAGATTCTGTTCCTGCACTGGGTATTTATTAGATCCAGAGTACATCTTTGCTGACAGATTTTAGGAAAGAACATTTTGTCAAATGTGCCCTTTGATGAGTTGCAGCTCTCCCACTGAGGTCAAAAAGACCTAGACTTCTGTATCTGAGAACAGGAGGTGTGCCTTGCAGGTTAGAGTGCCGATTTGGCAAAAAATGGAAAACATACCAAAGATAAGTATTTTATTGGACTGAAGTGCAAGGGCATTGGCTGTATTTTAAATGAAAATGAAGAGTCTGAGGTGACCCAGCATTAAATGTTCAATGAATGAGTTCTGTTTCAGGCTATCTAGTAAGGAGTTGATTTTTGACCATGGGAAAATAGAGGCTTGTGGGAATTGATGGAGCTCTGTTCACACAGTGAGTAATAAAACAGAAGATCAGTGGCAAGACAAAGAGAGTGAAATAAGGAACATCACATTTGTCTGTTCAAGACCATTTCCTTCTAGATGATAGCAGGGTTAAGGAGAGTTGTGGTTCATTTTTTTTTGCAGAAGCAATGCTGTTCCCTTATCTTGTTATTTCTTCAGTTGTTTATGGTTGAGTAATGACTGAGGATCACTGCACCTGATTAATTCCAGAATTTTGAGAACCTTAGTAGTTAAGCAAGTAAGCCTTCCAAGTAGGACTACAGATGGGAACAGAGATGTGATGAATGATAGGTAAAAAGAACAAACTATAGATAAATGGTGGCAGCAGATCTGAGGACCATGTGGAGGCAGAAGAAAACAGTGTTGTGGAGAAAAGCAGGAAGCATGTGGTGATAAATGGGACTGGAAGTGAATATGGAAAGGCAATTAGGGACGCGGAGAGGAAACGGTTAGATGATGGGGAGGAAGAACAAAGCAGAACACATTAATGGAGGGGAAGGGTTGAAGGAAATGTGAAATCTTCATATGAGTGAGCAAGGAAGGAAGGACCTGGAGATGGGGAGAGAGTGGCACAGAACACTGAGAAGACACAATGAGCCTCTGTTGTGAGGGAAGGATGGGGAGCACAGAGGATGGTACAATGGATGGGTATGGAACATGCCACCTATAGGATGGAGTGGAAGGCTACAATATTGGGAGCTTACGAGGGGAACAAATGCCTGCATTTGGTCTACAGAAGCTGCAGTGTCCAGCACTCCACTTATCTGTGTTCCCTGTTTGGTACGTTATTTGTTTCAGTGAGTCCTCTTTGTACCAAGAACCTGGCATATTTCTATGCCTCCGAACTGTAAGTTCACACGTAGTTTCTGGGCTAGAAGATCCTTGTTTCAATTCAAGGCAGTCTTTGAAAAGGACTTAAAATTGTAACTGTTGTTGCACAGTAGAGCCAGAAGCTCAAAAATAGGAAAAAGTGTCACATGCAGAAGGCTTTTGGTTTTGCTAGAGGATATCTGGGAAGTTGACCATCGAATATTCTTTGGGATGCTCAGATACCTCTGCATTGTTGCAGAGGTCTTGCTGCAGGTCAGGGCTCATAAGCATGTCAAAGGCTATAAAGAAGTTGAGCAAGTAAAGTCATCCTTCTTTGTTTTCTTCTGAGTACACCCAGAATTTTATGTATCAGGTCATATAACGATGCCTGACTGATGATGCGAGACTGATGCTGGGAATGCCTTCCAGTGAGTCTTTTGATTGCAGGGCTCTGTAGGCCACATACGCACAGTTGCAGTGCAGTCTGTCTGTCTGCCTTTTCCCTGCTCCAGGAGTGCAATGCCGGACACACGTCTGGACGATGGCAGCTCAGGCTGACGGATCTATGTTCAGTACCTGGAGAGAAGCTACAGTGCCACACATCTGTGAGTTGCAAGCCCTAAAGGCAGTGGATGAGGACAGGGGCCAAATGAATAAATCATTCATGTGAGATGAGACTTGATGGGTATTTAAAATTCAGTTTTAACTTGTGATCAGTATACAAGATCCATACTTTAGAAAGTGGAAACACACGGTAATCAAGATTTTAATTTCATTTTGATTCAAGTCTAACTTGATGTAAAGCAGTGGAGGCAAAGATCCGTTAATGTGTTTTAGGACATCCTAACCGCTGAAAAAGCGAAGTGTACATTTTTTTCTACTCTTATTACAGTATATTTTCCATGAGTTGAGTCCTTTGTACACAGAAAGCACAGAGAGTGCTAAATGGAAAATGTAGTGTATTGTTTCCAGAAGTACAATAAAAATCTATTTCCAGTGGGCCTGAAGCCGACATTCTTGACAACGAGCAGTACATTGTACCAGTATTTCAAGAGTGTTCTGTGAGTCCAAGGATGGAAAAATTGAGTATGATAGTCTGACTTATATTCATTTCAGTGTTGAATTGATAAGTATACCTGTATATTAGATGTGTGTGGATAAATGTACACATATATAACAATACCTATCTATACAATCTTTACACAATTAATATTACATCCGTATCTTCTAATGGAGTGTGAGTGTGCCTGTGTTTTCAAACAAGAATAGTGATTTTCTTTCCTCACAGTTTTTTTTTTTCCACTTTATTAAAAATCCTTCACATTAAAAAAAAAAAAAAAAATTAGGATGTTAGTCATGATGTTAGACACCGAGATTTTTAGGAATTGGCTCCTTGCCTACTGCTAGATTCCTGGAAATTGTTTATATGGAAAGTGTATTTTGCTATGAGGTTTTATTGTCATTTTCAATACACTTTATTAAAAATCCTTCACATTAAAAAAAAAAAAAAAATTAGGATGTGTCCTTCAAAGGGTTTTTCTTTTTTTAAATATCGCTACATGATACTCAAGCATAGCTAGGGTCTTAAAACCACGTAATTTCTTATATTTAAGAAGTACATTTTAAATATTTTCAAAATAGTTACTGCTTCGAGAATTTCAAAAGTATTAAACTGAGAATCCAAACTGATCTGCAGTAGTTGTAACCAAGATAATTGGTGGTTAATACATGTCATGTAACAACTAAACCTGATCTTATGTTACACTAATATATCAAAAATATAGATCTGTTGCAAAACAAATTCTTCAATATTCCTTCATAGAATTGTTGCATAAAGTTTTAAAGCTCTCAGAAGAGTAATAATTATTTGTAGGAAGTGGGGGGAAAAAAAGGGACCAAACCCTCTCCTGGTACAGACTGGTGAAATACCACTGGCTTTAGTGGAGTAATGTTGATTTATACTGGAAGATCGGCCAAATATGTATGAAATATACCTTGTGGATAATGGAAATATTTGGTGATATATTGTGCAGATTGATTTGTAGACTGCACGTCATAAACCCTGGATTTCTATTAAGGTAATGTGATATATATAAGGAAAGTCACATTTTAGTTATCAAAATAAAACTACATTTACATATATATTAAGTAATTTAAGTTTAAGAAAAAGAGTGGAGACCCTTCTAATAAGGTTCTGAAATACAGTGGCAGACTGCTATTTCAACAGAATATGAGTAAGCCATGGATTCCCATTTGTACTGAAATTCATTAAAATAATGAACATTAAAACAAATAAAATATCTGCCTTTCAGGAGCCACTTTAGAACATGAAGCAATAGCTAATTTGGAAAAACAACAACAAAGTTGTATTTGAATTTGGAGGAATGATTTGAAATATTAAATACAGAGAATTGGAATAAAATAAATCCTTATGGATATTAGCACTGGAATAAACGTGCTTTCTTTTCTAATAAGGAAAGGTCCAAGTTTCTTCTTACTAAACAAATTTGTAGGACTATAATTAGAATGCAATCAACACTTAAATAGACAACATTTTTGGACCTGATAAATATCTTTATAATCACACACTGCATTTCATAATTTAGAGATCATAGGTAAGCTTGGGTCACCTTATAGCTTCTGCAATCCTAGTGCTTTCCTTTCTTCTGTCATTGGATAACCTGCCAATTAAATATGAGTAATCTAGGCCACTACAGAATACACTTCCCACTGCGCTGAGAAGTAAGAGTTTACTGTCATCAGCTGATGCATTGCACAATGCTCTCCGAACTTCCTTCATGATCTGTGGATAAAGAAAAGTAAACAATTCGACATGCATGCCGTTGCAATATCATTTCCCTAGTTTTACAAACCTTATTGATTTTGAGAGACTTAAATTTTGGGCACTATTAATACTTACATCAATTATATATATTTATATAATTTTAATATTCTTAGAATGATAACACTGAGAGTTTACAAAATATTTTATATTTGGAAGTGTTTTGTTGATGCTTACTAATTAAAGGACACGGTTATCACAACAATAGCCTATTAACCTCAACAGGTTGTAAGCAAAATCTATAAACCCCAGTTTTCAGTTCTTCAACTACTTTGGTTTGTATGACTTCAACCAGAGCAAAGCAGGACAAGAGGACATCATATACCTCAATACGGCAAATATATTATTAATATTTCTGTGGTCAGTGATATTGTTAAAGTCTACAAAAGTTAGAGCAAAAAAGCCACTTGAAAGAGAGCCATTTTGACTCTGATTTACAACTGGATCAAGCTATTAATTGCACCATAAATCAAACCTCATCAAAATCTGTATAGAATTGAGCTGCTGGTATTGTAAGAAAATGGCCTTTCATCTGAACAGAGAATTGTTTTTCTAATAATTTTAAAAAGGAAATATTACTTCATAAACTTCTGATGGGTAACTTCTTATTTGGTCACAATTCAGCATAGTTTGTAAGCTGTCACTGATTTCAGTCATTTCAGCTTCCCCTCTTCTCTTTAGTGACTTGCTCCTCACTTCAAGGGCCATGATTTCATCTAGTGTGACACCTCCTATGCTTAAACATACTCATGTGTCAAAGTATTTCCTATAGACAGGGTCCTGTTGAGTCAAATTTTTCTCTTTTGTACTGAAAGATTTGCTGTTAGTGTAAATTTAGGTAAAAGATAGCAAAATGTGGTTGGGGAATTAAATATGGTTTCCATGTGAGAGAAAACCAAGATTTTTAGCTTGTGATTATTTTTGTTCACTACTTTATGTTTCCAAAAATTCTTTGGATCTCTGAAGTGCCTTATTTAAGAAATGTCCCTAAACACAGAACAGAAGTTTTGTTTATAACATTCTAGGTAGCCTTTTATTAGAAATCCTGTGACTTGTGAAACCAAGCTTGAACTTGTATATTCAAACCATGCAGTGCAATGCTACCTGCCTGCTTTCCATACGTGTTTGCATAACAATGACGCAGTGCAATGCTACCTGCTTGCTTTCCATACGTGTTTGCATAACAATGATTGCTACTGGCTGCTGAGACTGGGACATTTGATAGCAGGTGGTGAACTTTTAGATGCTTCACTTTTGTAAAAGTGCACTTCAGAACGCCTGTAATAGCGAGTATGTGACAGTGGGTGGAAGTGAAGTAATTAAAAGCAGCAGAATTTGGAAGTTTATCTGAAATTCTTGTGCAGGTACAAAAATGTCATCAGTGATTTTACAAGTACTGTTTATTCTCAGAGTCTCAGAGGCTGTCTCAGCCCTCAGTTGGTAAAACAGAGCAAAAGCGCATTTTGTAAAGGGCAAACAAAGGGAAAAAAACCCTAAAACCTCTGTTCAAAGTTAAAAAAGAAACTTTAGAAGGTGGTAGATGTTAGAATAACAAAAGATACATATTTTGATTTTCCTAGTTCCATGCGAATGCCAGATTGTCCTCTTTAGTTTATTTTAAATGTTCTCAAAATCTGCTCTTTCTTAGGGAGCATGTTTAAATAATATCAGAGAATACCAGTCAAACATTTTTATATACAATGAGGAGTGTTGTTTTAAATATGATGCCACGATAGGATACTCCATTCAGCAAGTTTCTTTACCGTTCCCCTTCCTCCAGTAATATTTGTATATGTACCATCTCTTTGATGTTACCACTGCTATCCTTCAAACACATCATTACCATTACAAACCTGTCTCTTTTTTATCTTACTCCTCATTGATTTGGATGGCTAAAGCCATCTAGAAGTATAACAAACTTTTGAGCAAAGGTTATACTACTTGTGGGAAAACCCAATATTCTGGTATCAGTGTTTTTTCAATGTTTTGGAGAGGGCGATATCAAAAGTCCATTATTAGGAACTGATCTTCCAGATATAGTCGAAAATGGGAAGACTTTGACAGTATTTTGGATAGTATTTTTGAGCAGGAGTGGAAATTTAGTTCCACTGCTCCACTAGTTTCTAGCAAAAGAAAACAGTATCAGAAACCAGGAAACCATAATGTATTGGTGTTTTCAGTCTCCAAAAAGTATTCTTTTTTAAAATATCTGTAAGTTTGTCATTAACTTTATCATCACAAGGTGCTCGGAGGCTCATTGGAATACACCAATGCCAGCAAAGTCGATTCTCACTCCCTTGTTTTATGCCATGATTCCTTTGCTGGTGCAGTCCAAAATTCACCTGGTCACCTTGTCACTCGGCCTAGTTATAGCCAACCTGCTGTCCACTGTTGCTTCTGAATGCCTTGGCATCATGGCTTTCCTCACTGATTATCTGGGTAGGGGTATTTCTCTACAGATGTTTATATGATTACAGGAAAGCTACTAACAATAAAATACAGATAAAAAAGATGGTTTGTCTGTAGGGTTACAGAACTGTCTATTAACTGGCAGTACTGTAAAGTAAATATAATTTTAGTTCAGAACTGCTGTCTAGTTTTAAGTACAAATTTCCATTTAATGCAGTAGTGGATTCAGTTTGCAAATATAGAGATACTACGTGTCTTTAGTTACATTTCTTTGTCAGATTCCATATTCTTTTTCTCTTTTCCATGGTCATTAAACCTTCCCTCATTTTGGTATAACTATGGCATTTGTCCAATTAAATTTTACTTTTTCTAGTGGACCAGATCTAATATTACTATTTGCAGGGTTCCACAGCAGTATTCTCCAGTTCCATGCTTTTTTTAATTAGCTTTTTTAATGGTCTTTTAGTTAATTTTCAGTTTTGGGGACAATATTTTTATTTGAATGCATTTGACTAAAATTTCTGAGGAAGTATTTACAAAACAGTATGAGCCAGTTCTTTTGCTTATAAAAATCTGTTGAATTATAAATTTAGACCAGGCCTAATGCTTCACTTACTGTTTTATTGAAACCCAAATATATAATAAAATTATCACTTTCTCAAAAGTTGCTTATTTTTTTAATCCTGTCAAGAAAATAAGTTGGTTAGTTCTTTAATAGGACACCTTATATTGCAAAATGAACATAAAATGTTTAAAAACTACATTACACTTCTAAGAGCTTATTTTAATGCCTGTCACTGCATGTAGGAAATCTTAAAAGGTATTTGGTGCCCTTTGCTTTCAATATTGCTTACATTCTGGGGAAATCAGGAAGCTGGGAACTTAACACCGTAATTATACAAAGTATCTTGAACAGAAGTCTCTTGTTCATATAAATAGAAATACTAGTTTAAAACGTTAACTTCTCTGGATCTCTAAGGATTCACTGTTGATATTCTTAAAGGTAAATATTCTGTAAATATTACAGTAAACCCAAATTTTAAAGCCATTCAGTTGTTCTTAGAACCTCTTCCACAATCGTACCTTTTTACATAAATACACTTTTTGTTACTTACTGACTCTTTGTGCCAAACAGATCCTGAGTCCTTTCTGTCTGGTAAATAAAGGAATTAGGAACCTATAAGGCTGGCTTCAGGCAGAACTACTGGCCAAAAAAGCAATTTGTCTTTGTATGAGAGCAAAAATACAGATAACAAGTAAACTTGTACCTGCATTTTTTTTTTTTTTAAGTCAGGAAAAGTTGTAAGTAAGGAAAAGTGAAAGCAAACCAGTGCTCCAAAATGCACCTGGTAGAACTTCAAACCCTGTAATTCTCATGGCTAGAAATTTGAAACCTGATTCTTTTGTATGAGAAGTGTATTTGAGGTAGTTATATCAGTCTTCAATGAAAACATTAGCTGTTTAGGGTACGCTTTGCATTTAATTCAGGGGAATATTAATTCCTAGCTCTATTAATAGTGTAAAGGAAATACAGTGGATGGATCCATTTAATCAGTTTGAAACAGAATTTGGATCCTTGAAATGTGCTGAGTTAAACCAGCAACATCATCATTGGAGAAAGAACTTCAGAAGCAGCACAAGACCCGTGTGAGAAAATGCCCTAATGGAATTCATAATGATGAAGTATTTTACATATCTATTTTAAAAATTAATTTTAAAAGTAGTAAGCCTAAGCCACTGAAATAAAAACAAGCTGTTCAGTTTCATGACACTGGCTTGGAAGTTTGTTAAGGTCTTGTAAAACATAAGAAAGAATTTCTATAGTGCTCTGAACATTTTGTAGAAAAAACTCAATTACTAGTGTGGCGCTGAGCCAACTTCAATCAGTGCAAATGCTGCTGGAAGGAGCATCGGCACATTCCATGCTAAAATCACATGCACAAACCCACAGGTGTGATGTGGTTACCAAAAACATTGGGTGAAGATTCAGGCAGGCTTCTCTAAGCTTTTCTTTTTCTTTTTTTTGTATAAATAAGTTCTTCTTTATTTTAATTAAATTGGCATAAATAGCAGAGGCCAGTGGTTGAACAAAACTACTAAATTTCATCTGAAGATTAAGATAAAGCACAAAGGGAAGCAGGGTTGTTTGGGGGTGAGAGTGATTTTGTATAGCTTAATTTTATAATGATTGTGGGCAGTGCACACCTTTTCTTTTTTTCCTAACATAGATGGCCGAGAATAACCAGACCACTATTTTAACCACGCCAAGTAGACCTGCTCTGAGTAAATTAATCATTGACTATTTGGCAAACGTAATTTACTGAATGTCTAATAAAGCTTGAAGTTAGCATTTCTTTTGACAAAAGGAAACACACTTTCTTTGTTTTGTAGGAGCTTTGTGTTTGTACTTTCTATTCACTGGTGATAAAAGGGGTCAAAACTGAAAATGTTGTAAATCTCCCTAAAATACTCTTATCAGTTTGTCTCACCTATGGCTACGGGTGACAAACTGTAGGGACAAGGCATTCAACATATTCCTCCTTTCAGTTCCTTGGATTTTTGCTGTAATTGCCAGCAAGGATGTGGAATAACCAGTATCGGAGGTGCTGGATGTTGTGGTGTGAATGATCATGGGCTGCAGCCTGGACCGAGGCCAAAGAAGTCATTTCATGTTTGCCAGCAAGCAGCCTTCAGAGGGCAAGAGCTTTCAATTGCTCTCAGCCTGCATGAGTTTTAAACAGACAATCTCAATGTGGAGAACTCATTACTTTGATTAATTCCTGACCATCCAGATCCTGGTCAGTAATGTAGTTTTCTAAAATGTATTTCCTGTTTTTTGAGTGAGCTTCAATAAAGGTTCTAGAAATAGTCTATGCCGGTGATGCAAGAACAGGACTATTATATGCTTATCATTTATTCTTCCACAGAGGTGGGTTCCCAGCATATTGAAAATTTTCAAAGAATGAAATGGATTGGTTTGGCAGACCTGAAGAGCCTGAATTAATTCACTGGTTAGAGCATTTGAATACCACTGATGTGGAACAGCACAGCCAGCAACGTAAAGGTATGTCTGTTCAGCCTGAACATAGTAAGTCCTTGATTTCATACTTTTTCAGGCCCTTGAGCTCTTCGTTTAAATTACCTGCAGTGTCAATTAGTGGTAATTAATACATGGATGGAATGATGAATTCGATGCAATCTAATGCGTTTTAAGGAATTAGTATTAAAAGCAGGTGTTTGGTGTTCTGTGTTAATTACCAAGATAGTCCTTTTAAATATCATATAGTTTAAAAACTAGGAGTGATAAATGTATGTTCCAACAGTTTTAACTATTTAGTATCATTCAGTGTATTAATGTCCGTATGTAGGTGTGCATTTGGGAAGGGGAGTCAAATTTAGAGCATCATTCTGTAATGTCCGTATGTAGGTGTGCATTTGGGAAGGGGAGTCAAATTTAGAGCCCATCATACCTTACCTTGAGTATAAATCAGAGCTGCACTGGCGTGTCTGGAGGGTAGCAGGTAGCAAGAACAGGGCTCAAGCATGTTCTCTGCTCTCCAGGACATGCATCTCATTCTGTGTATTAATGTCCGTATGTAGGTGTGCATTTGGGAAGGGGAGTCAAATTTAGAGCCCATCATACCTGCCACTAGTTTTATCTGAAGCTCATTATAAGCAATTAATTTCAAAGTTATTCAGTTTCTTATTGGATAAAATAATTCCTCAAAGCTACAATCTACTTTTCCCCCAAATATTACTCAAACTGATATTTCGTATGCTCTTACCTTGAAGTTACTGTATAAATCAGAGCTGCACTGGCGTGTCTGGAGGGTAGCAACCCTCCAGAACAGGGCTCAAGCATGTTCTCTGCTCTCCAGGACATGCATCCTGATGCAGGCATTTACTGACACCCCTTTTGTTCTGACATGGGAAAGGTATACTGGGGCATTGCTGCCCACTATGCTGGGATCACAGGGAATGGATGGAAATCTCAGCCCTTCCAGTAACCAATGTACTGGAGTAGTATAAGCTACGAGTCCAAGTGTATAATGTTTGGAACAAGGGAATTCATTAATACCGTTTATATTGTACGACTTTATGCAATTCAGCTGAGAATAGAGCCCCTAATTGGTTAAGATTTCATAAATAAGGACTCATAAAGTGATTCAGGGAAAAAGCAATTAGGGATCAAGATATACTTTTAGAATTACTGTTTCAGGATATAGCCTGAAATTCCTCTGTATGCAACAACTGGAGCACTATTTAAATTAATAAAATGAAAGAGACCAGATTTCTCCTAAGGATAGTAAATATCAGTAACTTCAACATGTGAACAACCGCTTCACACAACGCCATGCTGGAAATACCGATTCTGCCATTCCTTTCTTTACTTCTAATTTTCGGTTTCAGACATGTAAATTAAAAATTAATTTCCATTGCATTCTTTCTGATAGGAATCCCAAGTGTGAAAAAGTTAGACATATCTGAACTCCATATTTCTTTTTTATGATAATCAATTAGGATAAAAATACATAAAATCCAGTTCAAGTGCAGTGTTTCCAAGATAACCCACACATTAGGATGGCTTGCTTTGGCTTTTATGGCTACATGCTTACCTCTGGGGTCAGTGCATTGTTATCTGAAGTCTGACTCGACAGCAAAATATGTGTGAAACCATCTTCTTTCCGGACTACAATGTCCCTGAACCGGCAGTTACTTTCATTTTGACGCACGCTGTATCTTAGTCTCTTATCGAAGACATAATCTTTCTCCCCATCTAGTTTCCTTTTCACAGTGCTGTGTAGATTCAAGCTTCCATTGGCCAGAGAAGAACCTTTCAGATGGAAAGAATCAAAGCATAATTATGTCTATACCTTCAAAGAAATGGAGTGATACTTTCTATTAGCTTAAACATAGCTCAGTATTTACAATAGCCTCTACGTGATAAATTTGATAAATCAAAAATATGCCTGGCTAGTCAAATGTAGCCTCAAGCCATTCTTATTATTCTATATTCCAACACGCAATACTTTTTGTTCTCTGATCAGACAACCTCTAGATCCAGTGAATTGTACCATGTGGGACTGGTACTCTTAACACGATTCAGTTCTGCTTTGACAATGGCCTCAAGTTGCGCCAGGGGAGGTTTAGATTGCACGTGAGGAAAAATGTCTTTACTGAAAGAGTGGTTAAACATTGGCACAGGCTGCCCAGGGAAGTGGTTGAGTCCCCATCCCTGGAGGTATTTAAAAGATGTGTAGATGAGGCGCTTAGGGACATGGTTTAGTGGGCATGGTGGTGTTGGGTCGATGGTTGGACTTGATGATCTTAGAGGTCTTTTCCAACCTTAATGATTCTATGATTCTATGAAAGCAATTGTATCGTGGTCTTCCGCATGAATTTGGGGTGATTCCTGAATTCACAGGAAAATTCTAATTCAGCTTTGAAAAAACTTGACATGACAGGTTTAGTCCAAATCCCATCTTTCAAAGTTATATTTTCTTCCTTTTATGGTGACCAAAAAGTCATTATCAGTTTCAAATGACAATCTGAATAAACACTTGTTGCACATCTCTATGTGACAGTCAGTTAGGGCAGTTCTTACTAAGCTGACACAACTGGCATTCTCTTCCACGTATCCTTGTGGTTAGCGTTAGAAGTAGCAGTTAGCCATCCTCTTTGCGCTGATCTCAAGCTTCTGCTCATTACATTTTACAGTAACAGTAATTACTGACTTTTGACTAACAGATAAGATACTGAACTTTGTACATAGAAAATGTTAATGCTGATGCCATTTTGGAGGGTATCCAGCAGTAGGGAAAAAAGGGAACTATGACAAGAATGATATGGTTCCTCCTTAAAAATGAATGAGAGTAATAGTACGTCAATTTTAAAAGACAGTTCATTCAGACTCACACTGTGTATGAACTGTAAACTATTACTTTGCTTATTTTTACAGTTCCTCTGTAATAGGCAATATATTATGATTGGTAACAATGCTAAACCGGAATGTTGAAAATATCTTTACAAGATTTGTATGCAATACTCCTTTTCTAATTACAGATGTTTCACACTTTTGTCATTAGAAGTAAAGCAGAGACAGGTTGTTGAGGAACAGAGATTAAAGTCACTCTGTTCATGGAAATAGTTTCCAAATCTGTTTTTTGTTTAAATATATGAGCCCACAATACGCCATATTTAAGAAAGGCCAAGAAAGAGCTGAATGAAAACACCTTTGTTTGTTCCGTTCTTTACTCCTGCCAAAGCTGACCCGTTCCTGCTTCTGGTATCAAATAGCCAGGAATTTTTAAAGGGCAGATGACATGAATATTAGAACATAGATTTAAATTTTGTAGTTTATATGACCACTATCCAATTAAAAATGCTCTGTTGGAACAGAATTGAATGGTGAATTCGTAACAGATTACTCTTTAAACCAAAATCACTTACCCTCATTTTGGATTAGCTATGTTTCAACTTGATGTTTATGTAGGTAACTGAACTGTCTGATACCTCTCAGTTGGCAATGGCCTGTGGAATTGTTCACTGTGCGAAACGCCTGTATAGACACTGCAGTTATGATATGTGACGTTAAAATATATAGCGTGCTTAATAGTATTTAACTGGTACTTCATTTGGCCTCATCATGTAAAGTGTGCATGTGTGTACACATATATCTACACACAGAAATGCACATTTGTTAAAAAGTCCACTATTTCAGTCAATCATAAACCTCTTTTTCATTGTTAAATTAAGAGATACCATCTAAAGTATCGCCTATATTATACTGAATGGAGGATTTAACTGGTGCAATGCAAACATTGACAAATTACATTAGATCATCAATTTGAAGAAAAAGCATTTGAAGCCAGCAGAATTTGAAATTTGTTTTCTGGACAAGAATTATCTACAAGTGTAGAAATCACCATGTGCTTGAATTTTGAAATTATGAGTAATTTCTGTTGGCATGTTTCTTCTTTTTCATAAGGTTTTCCTACAGCATATATTTTGACGTGTTCTCACAAACAAAAATCAACTTGTGAAATTACTAATGGAAAACTAATAGCATTGGGAATAATATACTGAAACAAATTAATTATTTGACTGAGGCAGACTTTTAAATATTGCATTTTTATCTATTCAATCCTTACTATGTTGCTTGACCCAGCAATAAACTACTAAGATGTGAAGAGTTAAATCTCTCAAAAAAGTGTAAAGAACTTATAAAATCAGAGGCCAAATGAACATTGAATGGAAAATGTGTCAGACTAACTGTCCTGATTATCTACCTAGCATTGAAGATTATGCCACATCGATTTTAAATACAGATGGTAAGAGAATGGTAGAAGATTAATTCACACAGATAATCCAGCTCAACAAAAAGCCTCATAGTAATAATTTTACTTTAATTTTTTATTATATTCTTCTTTGAGTAATGTATTTAGTTTGTAAATTAAATACGTAAGAAACTATAGATATTATAAAAATATTTTAACTGTCTGCACACCAGCTGACAGAAATTTAACCAGAGGAAAGAAAGATCTAAACTAAATATGAGAGAAACATAAATGAAAAAGTGTCATTTCCAGGAATGGATGATTAACAGAACAACATATAGTGAGTAAATTGTTGTTTCAGTGTATACTGTGTATCCTGTAATCTTGCTTAATCTGGTAAACTGGAGAAAATGACCAGCAAAATCCAAAGACAACACTTAAGTGAAACCAGGCCAATTTAGCACGTCTGTTGCATGGATGTGATGGAGCTACTGAAGGTTTGCTCTGGAGCCACTAAAGCATCCAGATTGTTGCTGCATGAGGGTTAGTAGTTAGCACCTGCTTAACGCACACAAGGGTAACAGTACCTTAATATGTCACAATGAAAAATGACTGTGACATAGGGAAAAAGGGGCATTCTCAAAGCAATCTATACTGCATGTGAAACAAATTAAGGATGTCACAAATTAACTAAGGAAGCTTTAGGTACCTCTAAATGTGGTTTACTGGCTTAGTAATGAGTATTTGATGCTCAGTCTAAGTACAAAAAGAAAACAGAACAGGAGAAAAGATTCCTTCCTTTAGTGGGAGTTTATTCTAATTATTACCTTGTTTTTAATCAGCAGCAGAACTTGTGGAATACCTAAAACCACACTGATGTTTAGAAGAAGTTTCAGTATTTTTTAAGGGAACTTCAGATATTCCCAAGACCACTGGTGCATCTAGTAATCCCTCTCCAAGAATGGCAGTAAAGGATGTTATTTAAGGAAAAAACGCAAGCTTGGCCACTTTCTGCAGTCCTCTCCCCTAGTATCATCCCTAACGTATAGCAATATGAGAGGATTCATCCTTTCTGTTTCCTTCAGTATTTGCTCGTGGACGTTTTCATGGATTTCTCCAATCCCCTTTTGAGCCTGTTGATGCTGTCTGTCTCCACAGCCTCCTGTGGTATGAGTTTGAGAAGTTGTGTAGCCACTACACAGAGAAGAATTTTCTTTCATCTGTGCTTTTATCTGATATTCTACCAGTTTCAGTGAGTGGTTCCTAGTTCTGTTATTGAGGGATTTAGTGAACAACAGTTCTGCATTTACTTTATCTGAGGCCTTGATGATTTTGTAAACTTTGATCATATTCACCCTCAGCCTCCCCCTCTCCTAACTGAAGCCTCTTGTGTACTTGTAATCCTCTTCATTTTAGTTGCCTGTCCCTGTATCTTCTCTAGTAGTCCACTACTGTCAAAGGGGACAACACCTAACGATGTTACTGCTGCTGCTGTTGGTACTAGAAAGTGCCTAAAGACTCCAGATTGAGCCTGAGACTGGGGCTCCATTATACTAGGCATTGCAGAAAACACATTAGAAATTTATAGTCTAAAAAGATGAGGCAGTCAAAGAGTAGGAGAGGAAAGAGAGAAAAGATCGCAATGAGCCTCAGATCACTCAATGCTTTAGAGGACTCGGATCTCCCCATCGCCTTCCACTGCTTCTACTCACTAGAAGAGGACACCTCAAGCTACTGTTATTTTCAGATATATCTTTTCTTAGTGTTTCATCACAGTCAGTTTAATGGAGCAGTCTCTGTGCCACCACGCTATGTAGTGATCCTTGTGCAGGTACTAGCGTGCAGGTGGGTAGCCATACTGTGAACTGAGCTGATGAACTGTTCTGGCTGGAAGCTCACCCTGCAAAACTGTGGTTAATTTTCAAACAGATCAGGTTCACCTTGTAGCCTCCAGAGTACTAAAACTAGTGCAGGGAAAGGGATGGGAATAATGATCAGGGTATCATGGGATGGAGGGCTGGACTGTTTCTTTTGTTAGCAGCATGCATTTATGCTGAATGGAAAGGATCATGGAGCTAGGGCTTTAATTTTTCTAGGTGAAATAAACCATGCTCCCTTACTCTCGCTGGTAAAACAGCTTGGCATTCCTCAGTATTCCAAATAGCCTTTCTCTGTCTCCTTTCTGTCTTTCTTGTGGGTAATGGTTAATACTGTACATACTTAAAAGCAGTGTTCTGTTGATAATTTACTAATAATTTCAGACTTCTCCAGCTAAGGGAGCATCTGTAAGATATCTAAAAGCAATGAGTTTTTATCCAAATTGAGAAAGCAAGCATATTTGGGTTGTCTTTTACTGCCAGTATTGCTCCAGAATAAATAAAACAGAACAAGCTAAAAAAACAAGAGGAAGCAGTGACTAGGTTCATAGAGAGTATTTAAATTAAGGGCACCATAAGACTACAAAGATTTTCCTAATGGAGAAAAACAGTGGTTAGTGATACATGACAAGCAAAAATTCTTCAGCAGATGGTACAGAAATAGAGTGGTGTAGAAAAGGGAAAAAGAAAATTAGAAGGGGATGTTTTTTGGTGCTGTCAAGAAACTTGACAAAACAATCACTCTCAATTACAGTATCTGGAGAGAAACAGAAATGTGATAACAGAAGACAACAAATACCATCAGAAATAACGGTATTGTTAGCTCCTGGGAGCATCAGTGGATGTTTTCTTGCAGAGTTTTTCAATATTTTCCAATTTGCAGACCCTTATATAACTGTCAGTAAAAATGACTCTACTCTCCTTATGACAGGATGTGTAGAAGGTAGAAGAGAGGTTTTGGTAAGAAGGGTCTGTCCCAACTTCAGCAAGGTTCCAGGCCTCCACTAGAGTGCATATGCATATGCACATGATTTTGTGCATACACCTGTAGGTACACAGTCATCTTTCTGGGGCAAATAGCTTACTGGTGAGAGTTTTATCTATAGGTTGAGCGGGAAACACTTGTACCCAAGTGGATGCATACACAAAACCAAACACAGACTGGTGGAAGTCCGTTCAAGGAGTCATCAAAAACTAGTTTTTAAATAGCTATTATTTCTTTCAACAGAACTGGCATACCACAGACAAACAAAATATGGATATTTTTTGAGTAGCTGTAGTTTATAAATTACTAATTATATTGCTTGGTTCAATACACTTGTAGTTAAACATTATTATAATATGAAAGAATACTGGTTCAAGTTGATGGGTTTTGGAGGCCTTCAACCATAGGCCAACACTAGTAGCAGAGCTGGGCCTACAGCTGGGTTTTCAAATCGTGGGGAATATTTGAGTTTTCCAAATCTAGGCTTCATTTCAAGATCAACTTAAAATTTCTATATACATTTTCTGTGCAGTCTTACACTTAGCTGTGAAATGAGTCTGACATTCATTTGGGCTTCATACAGGCAATCTCAAAACTGACACAAATGCCTGTTTCATCAGATTCTGCACGGGGCTGCCCGGGAACCACAGCTTCTGGGAGCCAAACCCAGGTCCTCCAGGCTCCCTCTTTGTTCTACACATAGTGCCTGGGAGCCCTGCGAGCGTTGATGGGGCATGCCGGGCTTTCGACTTCCAGACTCTGTGGCAGACTGCCTGAAACCTCTGGCATAGCTGGCTGCCTCAAAGCTAAACGTGGGAGTCCTGCCAAGCAGACTGCCACATTGCTCCTGGTCTCAAGGGACAAAGCCTTGGGACCTTGGCTCAGATTTGGAGAAAGTTTTGAAACCCAAGATGTCTGGAACAAAACTTCTGTTATTCAACAAATTGGCATTTTTCTCTGAAACTTTCTTCATTTGTAATTTGTAAAATTTCAAACCAGTTTTAGTGGACATTTATCCTGTTTAAAATGAGTTTGTGATACTAACAGGACACATGGCAGAATCACACTGGCATCTTCTGTGCTACTTCCCTGTGAGTGTGAATGCTGAGGGAGTTCAGTAAAGTGTTGGAGTTGTTGAAGAGTAGTGCAAGTTTCTTCAATTTGACATTTCAAATGATGCAAAATCCTGTATCAGGAAATGTGACTTCTCTCAAGCTTGTAGGGCAATATTAGAAAAAAAGCTAGTACTTTTATTTTGACCCTTCTTCACCAGTTTCTGTCTGCTCTTACTTTGGTAGTCTCATCTCTCCTCTTTGTAGTTTTCTCCACTATGCATGTGCTGGGTATCACAAAGCAAGACTGGAGGGATTTCTGACCTTGGGAGTGCTGCTGAGTATGGGTTTTTCAGACGAGAACCAGGTAGAGATTGAAAGATCTCTTGCTTTTGCCTACAGGGAGGTCAGAATGCAAGGGAGAAAGGACAGCAAATTACAAAACAGACGTGATGGATTTGGAGAATGCAAAAACCCTCATAAAGAAATGTTTTAAGGGAGCTGCATATGTTAGGCCAGGAGCCCTCTGTACATGGCAGAACACCTGGCTGCTTAGGCAAAGCAGCTTTCTACTGAAATAGAGCTCTCTTACAGGGATTATTCAAACGGGGGCTGGTGGATGCCATTCACTAGCTCTTGTGGGGACAAATGAAAGGCTCATTTGACCTTACAGTTCTTTGTGGCCCTTTAGTTCTTCGTTAAAAAAAAAAGACTCTAAAATATAGGAATTAATGCATTTTAAAGATGCATTTAGTATCAGAACTTCCCCAATGAATAACATAAAACAAATGATTAAAAAAACTTCATTAGAAACAGTAAAAAAGCAAAGAAAAATAACTTTATATGCAACTGTAATTAGATATGCAAGTCTTTTTAAAGAAGCAGGTAACTTTTTAAACAGTCTTAGATGAGCTCAAACTCATCAAAATACAAAAGCCTGCACTCTCAATTTTAAGTGTCATTGACATCATCTGGGCTACTTACGCATTTAAAGCTGCCCACACATTTTGCTGGTTTGGGAGTCTTTAACAAGATATTTGATGCCTGGATTGAAAGATCCCAGCAGTTACAGGATGTAACCAGTAAGACTAGGCAAGGACAGTTCTACATCCCAAATCGAGTAGCATTTGCTAGGTTGCCAGTAGGGTGGAAAATGGAAAGCGGGGTGATATAATTTATGTTGACTTTTGAAAAGTTTTTGGCAGGGAAATTCACAAGAAGCTGTTAAGGAAATGAGTGCTATCATGGGCTACGGAAAGTGGCTAATAAAAATAAATAATTGGAACAAATGGTTACTCTTCATCATCTCAAATGATTAGTAGTTGGCTGCCCCAAGGACCTGCACAAGGATTAGTTTATTTAATGTACGTATTAATGAACTGGGAAGAGAAGTATGAGAGGAAAATTTGAAGGGAATACAAAATAAGTAGAGTAAAAACTAGGAAAGAATTTGAAGAGCTTCACTGAGTCATAAGAAAAGGGTGAATTGGCAACAGTAAAGCAGATTAAATGCATAATGAAAAGAATCATACATATAGCTGTGTTCTAAATTAACTGTAACCAGCAAAGAAAAAAACCCTAAGAGCAACTGTGTATCACTCAATGAAAACCTTTACGCAGTGTGTAACAGCAGAAAAAATAATTCTCAAAAGGTTGTATCGCCACTATGTCAGTAAGCAGTAGGAAATCATTTGGAACAGCTCCTGCTGTTTTTAAAAGGTATTAAAAAAACCCCCACACACCAAAGGCACAAGAGGATACTGAAAACTACCAGGAATCTGGAAAGACTTCCACGTGGTAGGAAGGCTAAAAAGGCTGGGGCTGCCTACAGATTGACAGGATGTCTTCCTCTTTATCCTTTCATATAAGGACAAGAGCTTATTCAATGAAAGTAAAGGTCAAAAAAAGCCCAAACAAAACCCCCAAACCAAAAACCTGATCAAATAAAATGTGCATCTCATTGTTAGCTCCTGGAAATTACTGTGACAAAGCACCATTGAGGCTTTAGGTTTGGTAGAATTAAAAAAAAAAAAAAGATTGGACACATAGGTAATGAGAAGCTACTTAGTTGCATTAAACTGCATAGTATTTATAGAGAACATAAACCTTTATTCTTTGAGAACTAAGCCAGTCAGTAACTATGAGGATTAGAAAGAGATTTCTCCTATTTCTTCTCGTTCACTTCAAGGCTGTTTGTACCTTCCCATAAAGTATGTCTTTCAAATTCTGATGTATCCAGTCACTGTCAGAGACAAGGACCTGGCAGTTCTGAGTACTCCTGAATATGATGAGCAGTAATACTGAGGAACTCGAATGTTATTCAGCCATACTTACCAAGATACCTCAGCAAAAGTGGTATTGATTCTGTTTCTAAAATAATCCTGATCTTTCTAGACCACTGGGTCTGTGCACACATAACTGAGAAGTGATTTGTTACTTGGTGATACACAAAACCAAAGTTGCAGTATTATACATACCTCCGTTGTCATTCCTACTCCATGCCTTGTCATCATTTCCCCACAAGAACTTTACACTGCAAAGGCATGTAACAAAGCCCACATTGCTTCATGTCACTCCATAGGAAATGGAAGGAGAGAAGCCGACTGATTAAAAAATGGTATAATATATGGGGAAAGAGCTTCTCACCATATCGCTTGTATAGCATGACAATGATTTCTCCACGAGTGGACTCTTTGTTTGCAGGTGCTGCAATTACCACCCCCCCCCCCCCGGCCTCAAAAGACTGTAGTTTAAATCACATACCAATTCCATTCACAACAGGTGAATCATTACTAACTTCCAACACGCTGGGCAAATTTTGTTCTCCTTCATGATCATTTAAATCCGTATTTTGCTGTTGTGAGCCATTCCCAAAATGTCTGGAATCTTTTTCATGACTGCCATCTCCATTCTGCAGACCATTATGTGGCTTTTTCAGTGGCATGATCTGTAAACCGCTGGGAGTAGTTCGGTAAGTCACAGTTTTAGCAGCCCTGTCATTAGCAGATGCTGGCTTTACTGTGTATCCTCTTTTCTGTTTTTGAAGAGATGGATTAATTCTCTTCCTTTTGTGTGTTGACCCTTTAGACTTCCCAGATTCAGAAGGTCTGTGTGATATTTTCTCAACAGAAGACCCTCGGCTTTCCCGTAAAAATTTTGGAGCGCTGGCCTGTTTCCCATGTCTTGATCGCTTTTCTCTAGTAACATGTAGTCCATTGAATTCATCAATAAATTCCTCACAATGTAGTAGGTGATGTTCAGGCTCCCAGGTGTCTTCATTGCTTCCGTAGCCTTTCCATCTGATGAGATATTCCCACTTGCCCTTCTTGTTCTTCCTTTTGTCTACAATCCTCTCCACCTAAAAGAGAAACAAAAAAAAGTATCATATTAGAAAGAAAAATAGTTTGGTCATGAAAACGATGTTCTTAATTTAGAGCTAGGAAGGCCTCCTTGACATTGTAAAGGCACCTTAGTATTCATGAGATTCTCCTAAAATGCAGTGCCTAAAACATGAACTGACTCTGACACGGAAAGCCACCCAGGCTAGCCAAAATGTAGCAACCTATTTTACAGATTTAAATCTACCTTATTTTCACAGGATGCAGTCCAACACTATATTCCCATTGGATCCTATATAGACCATGCTGACTGCTGATGAGAACCTATTTGGTGTGTGTATAAACCGCTTGACGTAACGTTTAGGAATCAGTGTTACATGTTTCTGTTCGACAAAGAATTCCCATGAACAGACCTGGCAATACAGGAGAGGAGTGCAGTAGCCCCAGTGGTATTTTGACAGCAAGGCCATTTCCCCTTCTGAAAACATTAAGAAGAGACATAAACACCTGATCAAACCTGATCTGGGAACCTGCAATAGCCACAATGTGAAGAAACAAGAGAGAGCCTGAATATCATTAATGAAAGCATGATTTCTTTGAAAATCTGGCTGTAAAATGAGACGATTATTGTTACATTCCTCAGCTACCTCTTGTTTGAAAGAGCTAAATAAAGCGTATTTTGCTATATTGCCAGTTACTGATCATTCTCCTGAATCCACACATGCATTATATCCCTATAAACATCCCCATACTTCATGTCTTGAAACTGTCTTGAACAGAGAACTGATTATAACAAATTACAATATTTTACACCAAAGATATATTTGCAGTAGTGTACATCCACTTTGCTGCTTCCAACATAAAAATTTGTATTTTTTATGAATGCAATATTTGAGTAAATACACAAAATTTGTGAGTGCACCAATTAAAAAAAAAAGGCAAATGAAAGGCATAAAGGCAGGATTCTTACGTAGAAGTAATGAATTTCATAAACCTATGCTAGAGAATGTCAGTTCCATAAACTTAAGGAACATTTCTGCACCAAGGGATAAGGAACTATATTGGGACTGCAAGCTGAATGTGAATTAACAGTATCATGCTGTTGTAGTAAATGGGCTGTACAACTGAAGAAATCTTCGTGCTATCTCAGCACTGGCAAGATCTCAACTAGGGGGAGAGTGCATATGAAAACCCAAGCACAATCAGTGGGCAGCAAGTCATGGGTTTAAATTGCGTCAAGAGAAATTTAGATCAAGTCATTAGGAAAAATGTTGTAATTATAGTAAGAATTAAGCATTAGAATAGGTAACGTTGGGAAAGTCTGGAGGGTTTTTAGAACGAACATCTGCCATGAAAAGTCACTGCTAGAAAATCGGGTTATGATGTGAAAACCTTTTGAAGTCTCTCCCAAGTTTTATTTTCTGATTCTTTTATTTTTTTATTTTTTAAAAATGTGGCTTATGAGGGATAAATATGCCACTAATGAAAAAAAATCATTATCGTTAACCAAATTTTTAATTTAGAAAAATAAATAAGTGGCTAGCTAATGTAATAGTTTTCATTGCTCTTCAAAGAAAAATCATCTCATGTGAAGAACAACAGTGGAATCTGTATGGAGAATTTAACCTTGAAGAAGGGCAATCACAGCAGTGTAAGTAATTGTTCTTTTTAGGTCCCCTGTTAGACCAAACCAATGGATTAATTCTGTCTGTTCGCTGGCTGGAACTGTACATTTATAGAAATCTTGGTGGGTTCCCCAAAGGAGTCTAAATGTAATTAGCAACTAAACATTATACTTCTATCTTAATTCATTTACATGGGAACTGTGCTAAGATATCTGTGTCTGAGTCAGAGTGGACAGCTTTCCTCCATCTCCAGGGCACTCAACTGCAGCATCCCAAACAGCTTGTTCCTGTGCTCTGTCTTATCAAATATCTGCATAGAACCACCGCAGAAGCAAAGCAAGGCATCATCTTTACTCTGAATTTAGCACAGTCCCCTTCAGGATTGCTCAGTGTGGCAGAACAATTAACTGAAGCTCAGTCTAGGCAAGTTTGAGATCATTTGTCTGAAAAGAGGAAAAGTCCTCACAAAAAAAATGAACTGGCATTTTTTTGTGTCCTCATTTGGGATGTGTGGCTTTCAATTGTCAAAATAATAGACTTATTATGATCTTGTTGAGAGAGCAGCTGTCCAAATTATCCCCGGCTTTAAAACATTTCTCTTCCTCCTATCTGGGACTAGCCAGAAAGATGGTACATTGAACTGTGGAACTCTGTAGTGGCCTGTGGGTTGTCTGTGGATTTGTTACTTTAATTACTGCAGCTCACTATACCAAGGAGCAAAACACACACACATACATACATACATACATATATATATATATATATGCCCTGGGGAAAAAATTAAATTGCTGGGGAAAAAATTAAATTGCTGCTAAACTCAGTAGACCACAGCTATCATTACTGTAGAGAATTTGGTTTAGAGCTATTCTGTCTGTACTAGCTAAACAACACATGCATTCCCTTCCCTTTTTAATTCAGGAGTTGGAACACAAATTCTGTGTCAGGTTGATGCTACCTCGGAGTAACTTCTGCCTTTCCTTTGAGGGATTACACCAGTTGCATTCCCCCACTTGCTCACTGAAGGAAGAACCTCAGAAGGGATGGACAAATACCTTGCCATTTTCAGAATCACATACAAAAAGCATCTCTTTTTCACTCACTCTTTTTCACCTCACTTTTTTTCACTCATGCCCATATCTTTAAATTTAACTATACTGACTTCTCATTTTCACATTGTTGCTCTGCTACAAGGAGGAAAAGTGAAGGGAAGAGCTCTTCTTGGAGAGCATTTTTTAATATGAAAAACACTCAAGTATTTTGGTGATGAGGCATTATGCATTTCAATTAAGAGGATAAAAGGAGAAAACATGAGTGGTCTTTGTTCCTGGGAAACAAAATACTGGCAATGGAGAATATGATTAACCAGTTCAACACATCATGAAGGGAGAATAAAAGTATTTATGAAATTGGGTCAAATTTAATAAATGGTTTCAGAAAAAACATTTAGAAAGCAAATATATTTGGGAAAGACTAAGCATTTCATTACAGCATTTTCAGAACAAAACTATCAACGTTTTCACTTCCAATTTAACTAACAAAACTAAAATAAAGAGGGAGAAAATAAGCTGAAGGCAAAATGTTTTGTTTCTGGTCAAACCCCCTTCTCAGTTTATTGTTTTGCTGGGGAGAAAATGGAAAAAATGTGGGTTGATCCAAAATTAGTTTTTCGGTTCAGCCATCATACCCACTTGGCATAAAAATTCTGAGTAGGTATCATCTGCCTCGTCCTCATTACTGCCTCATTGTTCATTACTGTATGCATTTGAGGGTAGCAGCGAACATACTTGACCTCTCAACATGGTCCCTTTTCTTTCTCGGGGCTTTAAGTTCTTCATTGATATTTATCCCCTTCAGAGTGCCACTGTGTTCCTTCACTGCATACAGTGAAGTGCTTCAGTGTAGGCGTAAATATCAGGTTTTGACCCACACCTGGTACTGTCTGTACCGTTCTCCTATTCACAGTCCACAGTAATAACAAACATCACTATTTTATTTTTGTAATGATGTATATTTGTTTTAACAGGTAGTATATAAAGTAATAATCTTTCTGCATTTACTTAAGGTTACACAAATTCACATGAGCTTTCTTAATGAGAAATAATTCTGTGACAGCTAGTGATTAATAGAAATAATACTTTCATTCCTTCCCTAGAATAAGCAATACACAGTTCTGAGAATATGCAGAAAATACCAATGGCTTCAATGTCTGATTTTCCATTTTCCCCCTCAGTTCTGTCTTTAATGAGAACTGAATGACATCTTCCCAAAAGTGACCTTGGTAGTTACAGTTTGCCAAATCCTTGAATTCACTATATTTGGTTTGGAAAACTAAGTAGTTAAATTTAATAAAAGTGAAATGACTGCAAACAAGGTTTGCAGGGGTATCACAGTTAAGAGAGTGCTAGAATTGACATATACCATTACTTGCCTAGATTCTCTCTCTCCCTGCCCCCCTTGGCTAATTCTGGATGAATTGAGGTGCTGATATGTTACCATATAAATGTGTTCAAAGAGAACAAATAGAGTAAGACCACGGCATCTGTGCAAATGCATTTGGAACACACTTTTTAGCTTCCAACTAGCCTTAAACCTAGCTCTATACACAGCTGGACAAACTAGGATGAAAGTCATAAATAAAAGCCTTTTAAAAAAGTTTTGTATTCTAACCTTAATGTGAAATAAAAAAAAATACTAATCAATTATAGTACAAATATGTAGAGCTTCATTAACTTAGTGTTATGATCTGTGATCAAGTGTTTGTATATGCAACGTACAACACACACACATCTTCCTTCATAGAAGATTCAGGGTCAAAATCATTCATTTAACAGCACAGTGTTATTGTCCACTTATAAAAAAAAAAAATTCTAGGCTAAGTTAAAAAAGGGTAATTCCTATTGAATTATTTCTATAGATACAGCTGTAAAATCCGGTGTAACAGCACACTCATCTCACAGTTCACAGGACATTTACAGAGCATAAATAAAAATCCTTATGTTCCCAGAAAACAAAGTTTTGTATTCTAACCTTAATGTGAAATAAAAAAAAATACTAATCAATTATAGTACAAATATGTATAGAGCTTCAAACTTAGTGTTATGATCTGTGATCAAGTGTTTGTATATGCAACGTACAACACACACACATCTTCCTTCATAGAAGATTCAGGGTCAAAATCATTCATTTAACAGCACAGTGTTATTGTCCACTTATAAAAAAAAAAAATTCTAGGCTAAGTTAAAAAAGGGTAATTCCTATTGAATTATTTCTATAGATACAGCTGTAAAATCCGGTGTAACAGCACACTCATCTCACAGTTCACAGGACATTTACAGAGCATAAATAAAAATCCTTATGTTCCCAGAAAACACCTTCCAGGAGATCAGTTAACTTCC